ATGTACTCAGATCCATCTATATCTGAAATACTGCTCCCACTGCTTTAGCTATCCTTGGAATCTTCCCTATTCTTGTACACCAACTCCTTATTGAATATCACGTCCATGCTTTTGATTATCTTCCTATTCTTCTCATCCCAAAGGCGATACCTGAACTCATCAATGTCGTAACTAATGAATGTGTACTTCTGTGACTTAGCTTCTAGCTTGTCTCTGACATGATTGTAGGGTCGAAAAATTAATGTTGGGATTGATTTTCTTGTTTTAAGAAATGAGTTCGATCACTTGGTACGAAACCCTTACAATCACTCACACACTCTCTCTCGATTACAGATGAAGAGAAGATTAATTCAGCTTCTCTTTGTTTAACGTGGGTTCTAGGTGACGAAAGGATACTTCCCCCGATGCTTGAGTCAAGCTTGCCTCCCATTGACGATTAGACCAAGATCGCAAGAACTTCTGACGTAGGTTAACCGACTGGAATCGAGGTTTGAACTCCGGATTGATGTGCAGAAACCTTGATCTCTGATGCTTCTCTAAGTCCAAGCTTGAAATAATCCAATTCAGAGTAATCAACCCTTTTTTCTGTAGCCATCGATGGCTATTTATAGGGTTTTAAATACGTAACCGACGTGCTATAATAGTGGGGTCGTGGGCATAACCGATGTGCTACAATTGTGGAGACGTGGCGTAACTGACTCCTTGAATTTAGCCCATGTGCCTGACTGGGTCTTCGTGGCCATTACAGCCTGATTTAATGTGGATGACGAACTTCACTACGTTGACGAACCTCATCCTTGATGTCAAACCTCACTGTGTGGTGAGCCTCGTCTTTGACGTCGAGCCTCGTTGCGTGGCGAGCCTCATCTTCGATGTCTAGCCTCGCTCAGATGATGAACTCCGAACCTCGTATCCAATGACGAGCCTCGAACCTTGTATCCAATGACGAGCTCCGAATTCCACATCCACTAGCGAACCTCGAGTCTCGTATCCAATGACGAGCTCCGACTTTCGTGGCTCCGTTTCAGTCAATAATGAACTTTATCTTTCAACGTTGAGTTCCGCTGCATGGAGACTCTCGTTTTCGAGGTTGATTCTTTTCTAAACAACGAACTTCATTTCTGATTGAAAAGGGGTTCATTTCCCTGACCTCTCTTTCACCTTTCGAATTTTGGCATTTTTTAATACCTACAATGATCACTGATATGAACATAAGCCATGCAACCAAATACCCACAAGTATGAGAGATTTATCTTCTTTCCATTCCAAACCTCCTCTGAAATCTCAAAATCTAATGGAACTGATGGCCCGTGATTAATAAGGTAAGTTATCGTATGCATCGCATCCGTCCAAAATGTCTTAGGCAGACCTGTATGTAATTGCATGCTCTGTCAAGATTCTGTTCACCCTCTTCGCAATGTCGTTCTGCTGTGGTCCCCTGTAGTAGGCATCTCTAAGCGAATAACATTCGTAGCACAAAACCTCTTGAACTCCTTCAGCTCGAATTCTCCACCATTGTCTGATCTCAGACATTTCACCTTCAGATCTGTCTCGTTCTCTACCATGGCCTTCCACTTCTTGAAGATTCCAAACACCTCTGACTTGTGCTTCATGAAGTAGATCCACACCTTTCTTGAGTGATAGTCGATGAAGGTGACATAATATCTCGAACCGTCAAAAGATGATACACTGGCTAGGCCTCATACATCTGTATGAATCAACTATAGCTTCTGAGCCTTAGGTGGCCTTCCACCCTTTTGGAAACTAACCCTCTTTTGCTTCCCAAAGAGGCAGTCTTCACAAACCCTGACTTCCACGGAGTTGATCCCGGTTAGTTTTCCCTGTGAATATAAGATCTTCATTCCCTTCTTGCTCATGTGCCCTAGTCTGTTATGCCACAGATCTGTACTCTCTTTGCCAGCTGTAATTGTGAAGGTGTCACTCGCATGTAAGGTGAGGTAGAGAGTTCCTAGTTTGTTGCCTCGAGCAACTATCATAGTACCGTTAGAGATATTCCACGAATCCCCTATGAATGTAGAAACATAGCCTTCTGCTCTAAGCTGTCCCACTGAAACAAGATTCTTTTTCAGATTCGGCACGTATCTCACGTTGTTCAAGGTCCACTTAGATCCATTTATCTGAATCTACACTTTACCCTTTACAACAATATTATAGGGCTCGTTATTTCCCAAATACACTTTTCAAAAGTCCCTTGCTACATAGTTCTGGAGAAGCTTCCTGTTACCAGTGGCATGAAAAGAGGCTCTTGAATCAATGACCAACAATCTGAGTCGCTATCCATAGCAAGGATCAAGGCATCCTGCACGATATGAGCCTCCTGCTCACCCGCATCCTTTTTTGGACTCTTGCAGACTAAAGACATATGGCCCTCCTGACCGCAGTTCCAACACTTCCCTTTGATAGGCCTAACATTCGAGTTTGACTTCTTTTTTACTGATTTAAATCAATTTCTGTTCTGGTTTTCTTTCTTCTAGCTTCTGCCTCTCTGCTCGAAACTTAGAGCTAAACCTGAACCTTCTGATTCAGACGATTTCCTTCTAACCTCCTCGGATAAAATCATACTAACCACCTCACTCAGCTTCAACTTTTTCTTCCCCGCCGAATTGCTAATTGCCGTCACACAACCTACCAAACTATCCAACAACTGCGATTGTAGTAGAAGGGCCTGTACTTCATCATCGAACGTGATGTCTATGGAGATAAGCTGATCAACAATCATATTAAACTCGCTGAGGTGCATCGTGAAGGACCGTCCTTCTGCCATCTTGAGGTTAAACAGAGTTTTGACGAGATACACATTGTTTGCCGCCGATGGTTGCTCGTACATCTTCGCAAGCGCTTCCATAAGCCCCATCGTCATCTTCTCCTTTAAAATATTATAGGCTACTGATTTGGCGAGCGACAACCAGATTTGTCCTAGATCCTTCATATCCAGTATCTCCCAATCATCATCTGACTCCTCCTTCTTCTGTCCCTTTTTCTTGCCCATCAACGGGCGATACAAGTCCTTCTGGTACAGATAGTCCTCCATTTGTGACTTCCAGTAGACGAAATCTGAACCGTCAAACTTTTCAATCTTATATTTGATTTCCTCTATCATGCATGGCTCTCTTTTTCACAAATTTGCTGAACGAAGCTCTGATACCAGTTGTTGGGGATTCGAAACAATCAAATCAAATCCGTACCCTTTCGGATCTTGTGTTTGAGAGTTGAGCAAGAAAGAAATTCACCACAAATCAAAGATAAAAACTTGTAGGAAATAAGAACAAGAAAAAACACACCATATTTAACAAGATTCGGCAATGTGTCTACGTCCTCGGGAGCCACACCACACAATTCTTTGATTACTTGAAAAAGATTACAATGCTTGCAATTGGCCTCTCTCTCTCTCTAAGATTTCTAATCTCAAAGAGCCCTCAAAAAACCCTCTTTTCCGTGCTCTTTTTTTCTCTTAAACCCTTGAGGGACGTGTTTCTATTTATAACAAACACAATCCCAAACAGATTAGAATTCTTAAACGAGTCTGCCACACCAAACATATTAGAATTCTTAAACGAGTCTGCCACACCCTGGTGTGGCAGACACCACACACATGGCAGACATGACAGACTCTGCCACACCAGGGTGTGGCAAACACCACACCCATGGCCTGTCTTGAATTTTCATACGATTGTTGATTTTGATTCTAGGTTTGGGTCTCCACTCTCAAGACCAATAGTATATCTTCTTATGAAGAATTGTATTAAACTAAACAAAGTGCTAAATGCATCTCATGTGTGTGAAATCACTTCGAGCCAAATTCATTCAATTCCTCTACTCAGGTAAGTAACTTAAGCTTACCATGCATATCTAATATTGTTGCACTAAAAAATGTTCTAACCTTTTATACTGACCAAATTATTTCCAAGAGAATTCTATTTCGGATAATGGAAAGCAAATTCAAAACAAACCAATTAGTTAAAGAGTACCTTGAGGGAGTTGACTACTGATACAGAAAGTTTGAAATTTTTATAATACAATGGATGAACAAAAGTAGAGCTAATAAAGTGTCTTATCCAAAGAGGAACTAATTAAGAAGATAATGTTACAAATTAATCATTTGGACCATGGAGCTATCTTACATCCAAACTATCCATGCTTTCCTAGTTAGTGACACTATTAAGAAAGCAATGGGTACAAAATAAATTCCGGTTTGCGTCGCAATAATCGTGGCAAGAGGAACCATGAAGTCCTGTGATGAGTAAATAAAATTAAAATGAATATAATATTACCTTAGGGCCGGCGGGGCCATGTGTACTAATTAAAGGCAACTGTTACTATGGCTCTTCCATTCGCTCTCTTTTAATCACTTTAGATAATAATTTCTAAAAAATGAGGGTTGAGTCATCAAATGGAGGAGATATTACGTAGATTATGATTATGATTAAAAAAGAAAAAAGAAAAAGGACATTCGTGGATTTCAGAGATCGGTGCAGTAAGCCGATAGCTCTCTTGCTATCGGTTGCAAATTTTGACTTGCAACTACAGGTGGAAATGAACTAGACTAATCAGTTACGTTTAGTTCGGTATTGTTTCAACAGTAAATAACTAATATTTGGTATTCAGTTCATAAATAAATAGAATTGAACCATATGATAATTAGATTCGCTTGTTTATTAAACACTCATTTCACTAGTAGAAAATCACGTATTCTAGACGGGATATTCTAGACGAAATTTTTTCCGTCTAGAATGTATTAAACTAGACGGAAATTTTCCGTCTAGAATAAAACATTCTAGACGGAGAAAAACTAGAAAAAAACTAGAGAGAGAGAGAGAGAAGAGATGACGAGAGAAGCAGTTAGGGTGAGCACCACATCGGTGAAATATTCATCCTACCTTGTTTGTTTGCAAGGAAGTCGTTCAAGGATTCGCTCAAAGTTCTAGAAGCTGACATCCAGCACACTAACACACTGTGAGTTGAGCTTTTTGATCCCCGATCAAAGAAAGTTTTTGATCTTCTTCTGTTTCATATTTGGAAATTGAAGGCTTTAGTCATAACTTTCGAGTTTTTTGGGTGTAATTTTTTTTTAATTTTGGGCAAGGTTTGTTATTGTGAGCATTTGATTGGGTTCTCACCCCTAATTGTTGGGTGTTCGCCTTTGGTTAATGATCTAGTTTGCAGACGAGCAGTTAGTTTGAAAGTAGGTGCAATTTTGGGGGATTTTTTTTATTACATATAGTTACTTGACTACGCTGTGGAATGTTGAATTCTAGCTGTCGAATGTTGAATTCTAGCTGTGGCTGTGAGTTTGTGTTTAAATTGAGAAATGCATGCCGACGGTTTGTTAAAATGCTTGTGTGAGTTTATCTGAATGAAATTGATCTTTACTTTGTGATTTATGTTTGTGAGTTAAAATGCTTGTGTGAGTTTATCTGAATGAAATTGATCTTTACTTTGTGATTTATGTTTGTGAAGTGCCTCTACAAAGGTGAGTTTATCTGAATGAAATTGATCTTTACTTTGTGATTTATGTTTGTGAAGTGCCTCTACAAAGAGTGAAGAGGCATTTTGGGATGGAGGTTTGATTTACATGCATTCTTGGCAAAATCATGGAAGGAACAAAAATCAATTTCATTCAGATCGGTGAGATATTCATCCTACCTGCAAGACTACTCAGTTGTTAGTTTTGACCAAGTTAATGGAAGTAGAAGCTGACACTCCATTCTTGACCCCGAGTCCGTGTCCGACGCGTGTCGGATGCGACACGCGTTCGACACGCCGTCAACACATGGTCAACGCCCCCGACACGCATCAACGCCCCCGACACGCGTCTCGACACGTTCTCGACTCGCCGAATTCTGCCCGATTCATTCTCGACACGCGAATTCACCCGAAATACCCCTATACCATCAAAAAAACCCAAACCCTAGACCTATCGATCGAGCGACAGCCTCTCATCTCTCTCTCCCCCTCTCACGATCTCGTTCTCTCTCTGAATCCTCTCTCTATCTGAATTTTTATTTGTTTGCAATGTTAGACTTGTTAGTAGCATAGTATTTTGTGTTTGAGGATTACATTTTAGTTTGTTGTTTGAATTTTATAAATTTATCTATATATAATAATAATATTAAAAAAAATCTAGCCGTGTCCTATTTTTTTGGGTTTTATCGTGTCCGTGTCCTTGTCCGTGTCGCCGTGTCCGTGTCCGTGCTTCATAGCTGTCAGTCTGTCACTCTTTTTTCTTTGAACAAGCTGTAATTGGAAATAAGGTCAAAATCCTGACCTCTTAGCTGTAATTGGAAATAGATTGTCAAAACAATTATTTTAGGAGGTCTTACACCTCTTTTGTTATGTCTTGATAAATGTCTTTCATCATTTCTTCCTTTTTACTCTAAATTCTTTATCTACTCCCTAGACAGGGAAATACTCAAAATTATTAGTTGAATATGCTGAGAAAAGAAATATAATTCTCTGATGTAGAAGTCCTACTTCTCCATCCACCCTTTGTTATACTTCATATACAACGTGTGAATTTCATTTCACAATTCTGATGCAAGAATTCCCGCATGTTTGTCATTTTGCCTGTGCGCAGATGACATATTTCTTAATCTATTGCATCTCTCCTACTTCTTGATATCACCTGTTAATTAAGTCTAAGTCTATAATACTGCTTCACTTGTCCCTTTTTATTTCTGCAATTACAAGACTAATTACTGCCCAAAAACTGAATGAACATCAATGCACAATAATTTTTTCTTCGTCTTCACGATTACTTTCACATTGATGATGCTAACATAAAATCTTTATTGTATTTCTCTCCCTCTGCTGTTGTATAGGTGGAAGCAGATGAAGCATATTTGAGTAATGAAAGCACAGTAACCGATATAAACACCTTTTTTGAAGATGCATGTAAATCGTCATGTGAAGGAATAATGGCAAAAACTCTAGATATTGATGCTGGATATTGTGCATCAAAGCGCACTGATGCCTGGTTAAAGGTACATCTAATTTGAGATAAGACGAACATCCCGCTTGATCAAACTTCTTCTGGTCTGATGTTCCATAATTTCTCATCAGGTCAAACGTGACTATATTGAAGAATTGGGTGACAGTCTTGATTTGGTACCCATTGGCGCTTGGTATGGGAATGGAAGAAAAGCGGGATGGTACAGATAATAGGCTTCCCTTCCTTCTTAATGTTTTCCTTTGATCTAATGGTTTCTCCCATCAAAATGATTTTGTTTCTCTGACTGCCACGGTACAGGTACAGCCCTTTCCTTATGGCGTGCTACAACCCTGATGCTGAAGAGTTTCAAGGTGTGTGTAGAGTCATGTCTGGCTTCTCAGATGAATTCTATAAGTCGGTAAGTGCAAGTTATAGTGAAGTGTAGAATTTTAGGTAAGATTTTTGATATGAAAATCGAGTGTTTACAGGAGCTTAAATTTCAGTTCTTGCTTACGCTCAGAATGATGAGGAAGAAGGTGAAGAAGGAGAAGAAGAGGGCCTGAGTAAATGTATAGGGAAGGAGTTGAAGAACCTTCTGCAGTGTCATAGCCATTGTAAATAATTTATGTAAAAGTTTATAAACAATTTATGTATCTCTCTACTATTTTGGTGAATGTATTATTTGAATATAATAAAATTTGATATTAGAATATAATTAGATTGTGTTGGATATGAATATAATTTATTGTTCAATATTGTGTACATACACTCAAAGTAGATTCTGCAAAAAAAAAAAATAAAAAAAAAATAAAAACCTACTGTAGCATAGCATCCTAGACGGAAATTCCGTCTAGGATGCTCAAATTCCGTCTAGGATAGCTTCTTTTTTTTAAAAAAAATTAAAAAAATTAAAAAACATCCTTCCGTCTAGGATGAGTATCCTAAACGAAAATTTTTGTCTAGAATACTCATCCTAGACGGAAATTTTTTCCGGCTAGGATGAAGTATTCTAGACGGAATTTCGGTCTAGAATATTCCGTCTAGGATGTATTCTAGATGGTTTTGAATTCCGTCTAGAATATTCCGTCTAGGATGTATTTTAGACGAAATTTTCGTCTAGAATACTACATCCTAGACGGAAACTTCCTAGACACGTATTCTAGACAGAATTCCGTCTAGAATACACATCCTAGACTGAATTTTGAGTATCTTAGACGGAATTTTCCGTCAATGATACCTTATTTTTTACTTGTGTTTATACTTTACAAGTTGTATGCAGTGGCGTAGCCAGGATTATTTTTTACCCTGGGCGAAAAATAAAGGTTGTCTAAAAGACCTCACGAGTGCATTACAATGCCTTCCTCTACATCGTCGACATGTTTGCCGCCCTCAACTTCCTCAGGGAAAAAAAAGAAAACCTCCTCCTTAATTATGTATCGACACTGCTAGACTCATCCGAGAGTAATTTTTTAGGGTTGTGTGCCAATTTAATTACGCATCATAAATGATTAATTATCGTAATAAATTCTCTTTCTTAGTCCTTGACATAATCTCTACAGTTAACTATAAACTAATTCCAAACATTCTATGAATTCAGCTCAAATTATATACCGACGATGTTATATATATTTTCAAATCTTGCCCTGGGCAACTGCCCAGGGCAAGGCTAATGTGGCTCCGCCACTGGTTGTATGTTATTACGCTCACGATTATATCGATCCACTTACAATTTACTTTCTTTTACACTAATTTTAAGAGACTTAAAGAACCCAAATATGGTTCTGGTTCAATGCGGGAGTTCAAACCCGGAATTCACGAAACGCGCATCCTATCAATCCAAAAAAATAATCTTTAAATTTATGAAAAACTTCAAATCCACGAAGAAATTTTAAAAAAGGAATTTATTAATAAAAGAGTATTGCCTCTACGGCTTATAAAGTAAACTTCTAATAAGAATGAAATTACCATAAATATAAAGTAGCAAATCTAATCTAATACTATTCTAAAAGTGTGAAGAATGTTAAAACTTTTTTTCCTAAAAATACCCTCAAAATTGCATGCACAATCAACAAATTGCCCTCAAAATTTCATGCAAATCACCAAAGTGTAATCATTCAAATTCATGCCATAACCCTCTTATTAATTATCCATGAATATTAAAATTTATTTATTTTTAATGACCCCTCCATTAAGCTTACATTAATCTCATCAACCTATTCATATTCCAAGTCATAACCTCCCTCCTCATCTCATATATATATATATATTGTACCATCTGTAAGGAGACACCAGCCTTCATCCATAATTCACATAGATGGGTAAAGATGATTCTCTATGTCACATGTTTCTCTATGCAAGATAGCCATATATATGTATGACATAGAGATGACACACATATGACATAGAGATGACACACACACCAGCCTTCATCCATAATTCACATAGATGGGTAAAGATGATTCTCTACGTCACATGTTTCTCTATGCAATATAGCCATACATATGTATGACATAGAGATGCCACACATATGGCATAGAGATGACACACACACACACTTCTCATAACCCACATGAAAAATGATAGTCGTTCTAGAGTCTTGGACTCTTGAGATTCAGTAACTTCTTGAATTCAGTGCATAATTTATAGACATGATTATTGAATTATATATGGCAATTAACAAAAAAACATATGTACATGGTTATTTGTGCGATGTTATCCTTCATTAGATAATATTTGAGAGGCTGGTAATAATCAAAGATGGATTTATTTTGAAAATCTCAAAATTTATTTGAAGGTGTTTTTTGTAATTCCTAAAGAAGATTTAACCTCCTTAAGCAAGAGCCATTATTTAGCAAAGTAGGCTTTCTATAAAGGCTTATGACAAGTTGTTAGCTACCTTCTCACCATGCAATTCTAGTCCATAGTTTGGAAAGATACTTTTAAGAAGGGAAGGAAAGAATTAGGAAGGTTTTTTTTTGAGAGAAAAACAAGGGATATACCCTATTCATTAAAAAACCAAAAGAAGTACACATTATGTAGTTATAAAAATTAGGTTACGAATTGTAGTTAGAAGATAGAAAATAAAGTTTCTAAAACTAGTGATACATAACCTTCTTCTTCCAAAGACCCATAAAGATGAAGAGTGAGCCTTGTCGTCATTCATCGTAAACATATATATAAAGAAGAACAAAAGCCAGCTATACATATAGTAGATAGAAACTAGATGTTCTATTATCTAACACACAAGAGATAGAACATAATGTTGGCCTTTTTATTTTGATGATGATTTTATAAACACTTTATGACTAATATTGATTCTAGTGTTTTGTGTTTGTTTATGTTATATCCAGGTGTATTATATCTAAAATGAAGCTATTATCAAGTTAAAGATACAAGCTAGCTAGCTTCTCATTCTACCTTGGGCACACTTCGTATAGGATTTATATATATTGTGTGCAATTCTTCAAGCTCAAGTCTTCACACACATATATTTATGATTTTTCTCAAAACATAGGTGTTTTTATGCAAATTCTATATAAATATGTTATGTTTTGGACTATATATATTCTAAATGTTAATCCCACTTAGATACGGGAAAAATGAATTTAGGTAGACTATGCTTAATAGATAGAGTCTCCACTCCATCTAGCAGCCCTTCCCCTGGGGGCGGATGGAGGTAATCTTGCTGTAGCGCTCTGACGTTCTTGTTGTCGTTTCTTTTTCTTTTAAAAATACCCTTTCAGGTAGCTCGGAGTTCCGGAGAGCCACAGGGTGACGGAGTTCTGGCATAGTCGCTGTCGTGTATTTTTACTTGTAGAAACTCCACTGTAGTTTTAAAATTTTATTCAGACTTAGAGTTTATTTCCATTTTGTAAAGGCAATGAGCCTTAGTTCGACTTTCCGTTTTGATTCATGTTGAGACATCGTATGTTATTGCAGACTCCAAATGTATTTCAGTTTATTTTCAGTTGAGACATGACCTTTATTTATGAGATATCATCTTCTTTATCATGTCTATTATTGTCGTTCTACTTCTTTACCTGTTTTGTACCTACGCTTTTATTTGACCCCACTAGAGGATATTACTGTGATTAATTAGTAAAACTTGTTGTTGTACAGTGTGGGTGCATGGCAGGTTTGACATCTCTGGGTTCACCTTGGACTGCAGCCATGAGTGAAAACAGGGGCGTCACAGTTGGTATTATATATATATAAATATATATATATATATTATATATATATATATATATATATATATTATATTATAATATATATATATATATATATATATATATATATATATATATATATATATATATATATATATATATATATATATATATATAGAAACAAAACTTGTGTCCACGCTTAAGTGGACATCCACCCCAAACTTTTTAAACGCCTTGCGATGTTTCCTAGGGATCCTTGCATGATATGAAGTGACTTTTTATATGTTAAATGAGTGGATATAAAGTTTGGTGGACACACTATTACATATCCACTTAAGTTTGATAGGAGTCCTTACTATATATATATATATTATATATATACTTTTTTGTTATATTTATATATATATATATATATATATATATATACATCTTTTATTAAGTCCATAAAAACATTTCACAAGTTTTAAAAACTTGTTTTGAGTCAAATATCAAAAATCACATGTTTACACAAACATGTATTTTACTGCTTTTGCAAAATACAGTGTTTTTACAAATGGTAAATACAAATTAAAAATTTCATTTTCCAACATGTTTATAATCATGTTTATAAACTTTTCTCAAAGTTTTACATTTTTTATAATTTATTTACTATTTTTAAACACTTCAAAAGTCAGGTTTTAAACATGCACTGTCCTTGTGCATATTCATAAGTCGACTTATAGGGTAAGACAAGTCGACTTATGAACTGCTCTGGAATTACATATTTTATCTGCTAAGCCGACTTAAAATTATTGCAAGTCGATTTATCAACTGTTTTCCTGTTTGCTGTTTTTGTCTGTTGAGTCGACTTACAACTAAAGTAAGTCAATTCATAAGACATAAGTCGACTTATGAACTAGCCGTTGCACAGTAACGATTAGTTTCTAGTTTTTTATTATTTTAATGTATTAGGGTGTTTTTGGTGATTTCTTGAGCTGATTTCTTTCACCCAATAAATATCCCTTTGTCATAACCATTTGCAACTAACTAAGGGAGTTTCAAACAAGTTTTAAAAGAGTTTAAAGTTTGCTTAAGTTTTGTTTCAAGTGTGTGTTTGTTTTTACAAAGAGGAGCTTACAATGTTGTTTGAGGAATTCATCCTCAATTATTTAGCATTTATTCTTTGTGTTTATAGAGAAGTTTTTTATTAACTCTTTTATCTAGCATTTATTCTTGATTTTCATATCTATATTATTGCTAGTTTATTCTTGAGTTAGTAACTCTTTTATCTAGCATTTATTCTTGATTTTCATATCTATATTATTGCTAGTTTATTCTTGAGTTAGATTTTATTTGTACTCATTTATCACACACAATCTATATTATTGCTAGTTTATTCTTGAGTTAGATTTTATTTGTACTCATTTATCACACACATCCCTATTCAGTTTTTAGTATTTCATATACTATATATTTGGGTTGTGGTGGGTGATATTGTGAGTGTGAGCTTAATTGCGTTC